TTTCATAATGTATCTTTAAATATTCGATAATATTTATCCATTTTTTCAATAGATGAATTATTTATTTTGTTAAAAAAAAGCACGTTTTTTTTATCCAGTTTGTTTAGACACAATACGTAACATGACAGAATTCTCTGTGATCTGCTGTGTAGTCTAAGAGATGATAAAAAGATTCCACGTGCGCGGCGAGGAGTATGTCGACACCCTAACTTGCCTCAAGAATTTTCGCAAAGTTTCGCTCTCTTGAGGTCTACGTGTTTCGAAGTTATTTAAAATGGATTTTGATTTTGAGTTAAGAGCGAAACTTTTTACTATATGGAATTATGCTTTCTAATGCAGTCTTATTTAACGTGATTTTAACATGCCGGTAGATCTTTTGTCGACTATATACATACATTAACTTAATTACGTACTGCCAAACAAAACAGATATATATTTTTAATGGTATATCAACCGAAAAATATGCTTTCATTTAAATGTATGTATATTGTGAGATTATTCTTGTTGAATGAAAATTAATTATGTATTTTGTATATTTTGTGAATAAATATATCGCAGACTCACTAACAAGGAGCTCTCGGGTTTGCTCCAGTTGTTGGCCGAGATAGTTCCTCGAGATTTTCCGTCGTGGTTTCCCCGGGGAAGTGGTGCAGGACGGAGGAGGGCCTGACAAGGAACAGTGTATAGTCGTTCGGATGTGACGAAAACCCGAGCTCCCGTTTTCATATTGGCGTGCCCGTTAAACGAACAATGACGTTGGAATTCGAAATAAGAGTAGGCCGTAGTGCCGCTGTCCAGGCAAAATTGTTCCGGTATGGCGTATGCCCTTCTTCATTAGCCCAGGTGAAGAAATGTGCGACGTTAAACCCCATGTCATTGCTTTTCTATATTCCACTTTATACCACCCCTTAAATGTAACTATTCCATTTAAATAATAAATTTAATTTCTATATAGTTCGTTTTAGTTTTAGCTTGGCATCAACACTTCAAACTGCAAGCTTTAAGATTCCATGTACGATTTTTCTTCGGGGAAAATGATATGAGTACTGTTGTAATTGTAAATATTGAATGGATATGCAAAAATTAGCCTACAGTCTGTGGAAATACTAGTTATATCATGATGTATTAATATGTCTTTTTTCATAGACTGGGCCGGGGGAGAAGAAAATAAATCTTCGGCAGAATAAATGACATCTCAAACGCGTCACTGATTGATATGTGAAACGAAAATATTTTCACTTATATACCAATGGCTTGCAGTATCAACGGAAGCTCGCCTTCTGTCACCAAACAATGACATAACTGCGACCATCTAGGCGGTGAATCCAATACACTTTGGGTAAAGTCCTTTGCATTGTATAATACGTGAGAAGTTGAAAAGGAAACGAAAATAAAACGAATCGAATTATCGAATTAGTCCGCACTCTGACGTATATTATTAAAAATAATATACGTCAGAGTGCGGACTGCAGAAGAATTTCGTTATCATGATTCGTTGTTCTCGACCCATCGATGATAGGTCTTCCCGTGGATACTATCTAAAAACCATAGCTGAATATTCTAGCGCGGGGAGCACAAACATTGTATAACTGCACTAAAGTTAGGACAGCAGTTTTTAGTACTTTCACGTTAACGCTGTCACTTATAGTCGGGTTAAATGCTGAAATATGTTGGTAATTTATCTTACTCGGTCTTCCTCAACTTTAGAATCCTTGGATGCCATGGCTTCATCCATAATAATCTCCAAGTCCCCGCGGACGTTCCGGTGCCCCTATGTTTGTCCAGTGTGCTAGAAAACACTAGTTATTGATGTAGAGAGTTGTGTTTATGAGAATAGCAATTAGTGAATCGCGGCGGAGTCGTCGGCTCTAGCAAATAAAGGGAGACAACTGCGATATACGAAGAGGACCGATGTGCAGTAGCGGAACTAATAATAAATGTCAACAAATTACTGGCTATAACACTGGGCGCCCGGTAGAACGTAGATCGCATTGGCTATATTATATTATCTCACCGGAAAGCAGTTAGGTGCTAGTTGACAAAAAAGTTCATGTCATATGATTGTTATTTATTTTGTTAGTATTTTTGTGTGTGAACCTTAGGGGCAGTGGCGTTACCAGGATGTTTGTGGTTGGGGGGGGGGGGGCGTGGATACCGAAGATCTGCCTGTCATTTCTGTCTGTTTTGTGAGAGCTGACAGAACATTTGTACACTGCAGTATGGCGCACCACGGCCCGTGCACTAGTGGTACTACTAACTGGGTGGCTCACTATAACTGTGAATGGAATCGAGCGCCATAGACGCGAAAAAATTCAGATAGCGACGTATAGTATGTACCAGAGCTTTTAATTTTGGGGAGACTGGGTCTGAAATTTTAGTCAATTTCCTGGTATTTGATTTCATTGGTGGAAGCAAATTCTTGTGAACGAGAGATGATCAGAAATGGGACAGAATCTCGAGACCTGCCTGTCAATTCTACCTGTATTGCAGTCTGTCGCCGCACGACGCTCGCACTAGTGGTACTATACCCGTGAATATGATAATGATGAGATAGTATAAGATCGAAGACGAGTGGAAGAATGATGATAATGGAATCAAGCGCCGTAGGCACGAAAACATTTCAAAGAGCGACGCATAATATGTCATATACTTAGTTTTTTGGGTTTTTGTTTTTGACTGGGCCTGAGGGGAGGGGCGAGGGCTGGTGTACCACAAGGATCTGTTTTGGGACCTCTATTGTTTTTAATTTATATTAATGATATTGTGAATAACCTTGATTCCAATGTTAGACTATTTGCAGACGACACTTCACTATTTGTAAAAATGACTTGTGGTTGGTAACCTTTAACCCTCTAAAAACGGAAACAATGACCATAATCACAAAATCACAAACAACTAATCCACCTTTGTTCTTTGGCACAACACAGATTAAACATCTTGGTTTAATTTTTCAAAGTAACGGAAAATGGAATGTCCATCTTGAGAATTTATGTAAGAAAATTTCAAAATTGACAAATTGTCTAAAATCGCTAAAATACAGACTAAAGCGGAAAACTCTACAAACAATTTACACTTCCTTTATTTTGCCTCATTATTTGGGACGGTTGTTCAAATGTACTAGCTAATAAATTAGAAAGCCTTCAACTTGATACACTTAGGACTATTTGCGGGGCGGTTAAAGGAACCAATCACGAATCACTGTACAGAGAAACTGGTTTTATTCCTTTGATGGAGAGACGGAAGCGTCACAAATTGCATCTTATGTACAAAGTATTCAATAATATTGTTCCTAAATACCTTTTAAATCTTTTTGAAAAATCTCCAACATTACCATATTCATTAAGGAACCATAATGCTTTTACGGAATTTAAATCCCGAACATATCTCTTTTCTAATACATTTATACCGTCCTCCATCAGGGAATGGAACCAGTTAGACACCTCGGTTCGTAGAACAACATCACTATCTGGCTTTAAACAAAAACTTTCCAAAAATGACACAAACATTCCGATATATTATTTTTTTGGTTCGCGAAAAAACGAAATTATTCATTCAAAGGCCACTTGTTTTTGAGACATATATCAGATGATCCAGCTTGTACTTGTGGTCATCCATTTGAAGATATTGAACATTTTCTTTCGTATGTACAAACCACTCAGATGCACGCCGCAGAACGATAAACACTTTGCCTCTCGAATACAGAAATAGCAATCATCTGTTATTTGAATCAAATAATCTTTCCGTTGCTGAAAATATTACCATTTTTAAGACCTTACATGAGTTTTTTAACCTTTCTCAACGATTCTAAAAATTATTATTTTCAATTCTCATTAAAATTCCCTAATTTAATAGATATTATACTACAGGTTTTCCATTTTTATATAATATAATTACGTGTACTGTAAATATCTTGTATATATGTAAATACTTTATTATTGTAAATTATACTGTATACAGGGAGAGGGTTTTCACATAGGCTCTGCCAGTTATCCAATCCTATTCATGTTGTTTGAATAAAATATGTTTATACAAAAAAAAAAAATCTATTGTGGCTCATTTTGGGTCGCGAGGGGGAGGGGGGCAAGTAAACGTGTCTAATCGTACGGATGGAAGTAAAAAAAACTGAGGTCGCGTGTACAGGAAGCCTTGAAAGTTGGAATTAGAAATAAGATTAGGCAGTAGCGCCGCTGTTCGGGCAAAATTGTCTTTATATCGCACATTTGGCGTATGCCGATCTTCATATTGCTTTATCTAGTTACTAAATGTCTCTAAAACATTAATAGAATACCGATTAGTCCAGTAGAATATGAATCCATTACCGCCGTGTAGAAAACCAGCGTGGCCAACAAACTCGCCCAATTTTACAAACCGTACAGAGACAATAACGGTTTAGGGGTCTTGGCATCAACTTGACGTGATTTGTCTATAGATATCTCATGCATTTTCAAAAAAATTCTATTATACACGTACATGTATATCTCATTTGTTACTTTAAGTATATTATTTTATTCAAAAGCGAATTTTTCTCTTTCTTTTTTTTAATTCCCACATTACATTTATTATTGCTTATCAATAGCACGAACAGAGGCGACTATGGTACAAGTATTTTCTTTTTTAGGACTAGTTCATGGGGTTCGGTTTTCTGATTATAATTGTTGTTATGGAATAATTATGTCTGAATTTCGTTTCTTACATGCTGCTGAAGTTTGTGAGATTATTGGCGACATCTAACAAATCCATATACCTGGAACACAGATATCCAGCTTAAAACTTCCACTGTTTGTTGTGTGTGGAAGCTACTTTAATCAGCCTGAACATATTTGCTTATATTTAATAGAAGCACCAGGTTCGTTTAATTAAAGATTCAATGAACGTTATACATCGGTAGCATTTCTACCATACAATGTAATATTTATGTCTTTGGTCCTCTAGTAAACCGAATGGTAATCAATCGGAGTAGCTCGGTAGTGTAGAATAAAATCGATTAGCAGGAACAACATTAACACCATTATAACGTAGTTTTAGAATAAGAGAGTTGCAAGAGAATTGTTCAGCAGACCAACTGAATTATGTTTTTACACTTCTTACTTTACAGCGCCTACATCCGATCATTCTCTGCCATAAATCGACTCATCTTTAGAAATGTTTGATACAATTGGAATATAACGTTTCTTTAATTGAGCAGAAAGTTTACGATAGGCAATGTACAGACAATATTGGATTAGTTTGATATGGACATCATAGTCTTGTGGTGTAGGGTTAGATAGACTGGACGTCTCGAGTGATGGATTCGAGAAAGAATAGTATTTTGGAATATCTGTTTTATTAATCGGATCTCCATCGCACGTTTGGGTTGATATTTATTTCCTCGTGTCGAACACAGTTATAAACGCAAAGAGTTGTTCTGGCGGGAGAACAGTTTGTATATTCAAAGTTTGGAATCGCGGATGAAATATTTTCTGATTTAATCTTTCGAGAACAGATTTTATGGGTGTTAAAGGACTGTGGTTGCGTTGTTCTTGGAGAATTATTTGTTTTTTTGGAAAGATCATATAATTTCTTTTAAATCCCCCAATAATATTGACGTTACGACATTCGAATTTTAAAATCTTTTGATCTGAAGCTGGGATAGCAACGGAAAAAGTCATGTTGCAATATAACAGTAACTCCTGTCACCTTGACGACGGTATGGATGAGCAGACAAACCTAAACAGGCCATTTGGGGATAAAGATGACCTAACCGAAGGTAGGTCAACATAGCATTTACATTCTTCATCAGTTTTGATATTCACATATTAAACACTAATAGGTGTGATCTTCATCCGGATTTTCTTAAAGACCTAATTAAAATGCTAAATCTTGTATGTTTCAGATTCTAAAATGTATCTCAAAATATAAAAAAAGATAACGTTTACTTTGAAGGGAACCGGGTCCAGTATTGACATCTTTAATTTGGGTCAAAATGAAAATTGTAGATTGTATCTGATGTGATGATTATCTGTCTTTCTGGAAAATTTGACATCTATAGATTACTAGTGTTGATATATTATTTATAAATCATTATGTTTCACTGTCGACACAGTAAGCCAAATCGTAAACTTAATTAAGTAAATAGGCCGATTTCCACTTAATCTATTTAAGCAAAAATATAATCTTGTAACCCACATTACTACCCATATTTAATGCTTTATTTTGACCTAAATCGAAGAGGGTTAGCTCGTCAAAATAAAACCAAGTGTTATAACTGATTTGTGAATCAGCTGTCGCCAGTCTAAACCAGACGTTTAACTAAAACAAGTTTGCTTTACTTACACTTATAGAACAAAAAATACCACTTATCATCTAAGGATTTAAGGAGTTTGCGTGGTCAACCGATATTTTGTGCTTTTGCTGTATTAAAACCACTGGGAAAAGGACTACTGGTCCCAAAGTTATCCACTCCGAAAGTCCAGTTTCAGACCGTGTAAGCTTACTTTCTAGAACACCTGGTACCACATGTTAACGGAGGGAAGTTCACGTCGCTACCAATTTTTTGTGATTCACCGTGTTCTAAATGATAATTCAATCCGAATTGATTTAAAGAGACCAAAATAAGGAATTGAATTGGTTTGATCTATGTTTGATTTTAATTAGTGATGGAACAAGCTCTGTACAAATACATTTGTTTCGCAACATTAAACAGGGAGAGAGAGAGAGAGAGAGAGAGAGAGAGAGAGAGAGGAATGGGGTTTAACGTCCACTCGACACAAACTAGGTCCTTTCGGGACTAACATATGGTTTTGTTTTATTTCAATAATTCGCTTTCGCGTTGGGGCCTTTAGCAGTGGGAGGAAACCGGAGGACCCTGAGAAAACCCACGAGGTTGGACAGGCGACCCTACTCCTTGTCACGTACAATCGGGGATTCGAAACCACGCCAGTTGACTCAATGACAGGCTTTATGATACAGCGCGCACGTGCTAACCATTCGACCATCCAACCCCCAACATTAAACAGAGATCGGCTTGTTTACTAAATTTACTTTATTGGGGGAAAACAAAACAGGTTATATGGCAACACTGACGTCAATAATTTCAAACAAGGCAGTCTGTAATCTAACAAACCATGAAATCGACGATGGATTTTTAGGACCGAAATCAACGATGACACTGTTAATAGATTTGGTAACTTTAATTCTTGCAAAGAAAGCCAACCGGTGATGATATTATTTAGTAGATTGTACCATGTCAACTTAAATGTCCTATAAAATGAAAGGCGTAATCACGCCAGTTTTGAACTTTTAAGGCAGTTAGATTGAAAGAACGCCTCCCTTGGGGCTTCTATTTAGAATTCAATCTGAAGGGTTGTCATTTTCTTTTCCGTGTTTTCACGATTCCACAGTTAATGTGACAATCGGTTATTGCGGAATAGATTGCCCGATGGATAAGTACTCGATCCTTCGCCCCTTCTTGCACCCACCAACGCGGAAGCCATAGAAGCCGTGACAAATGGTTTAAACTGCATTTTATTCGAAATACGATGAGCAGGCTGGGCCTATATTTCCAGTTTGGCATTAGGAAAACCATAAGTGATTAAAGTGAATATGATGCAGTAACAAGCAAATATGATTATATAAACCTGTTTCCGCGACATATGGTCCTAATCTCGCTCCGTCGCGAGAAATACTCAGTTTGAATCGTCATCTGGTATGTATCTCCCACTCGCACTCATGTTCAAGGCGAAGAGAATCAGTGACGGAGTGAGATTAGGACCATTATTTTGTCATGGCTTCTTGGCTTTGCCTTCGCACATGGTTAACGCGAAGGCAAGAAGAAGCGAATAGGTATGTATGGGCTTCCATACTTAACTGTTCAGGTTAAAGAGAAAACACCAGCAGGTTTCTAATGGAGAGATGAAAGTTCTAGTGTACTCACTACTTTGGTCATTTTAATACAGTAATCTTTTAGAAATAGCAACACTTTCCTGCCAAGTAGGAATCGGTCTTGAAATAGTCAAAGCTTCTTCTCAGCCCACGCCGGAATTCAAAACCGGGACATTCTGCCCGAGACTAATGTCTCCCGCTAAATTGAATTTCCGAGGTGAGTCACGAAATGTTGGATTTGTCATTACATTTACATTCATGAGCGGCGGGTGTTTGTGGTGAGGGGTGGGGGTAGTGCATGCAAAATATACTGAAGTGCACATTGATTTCAATCAATGCTCGTTCAATTTGTAATTGAATAGTTTAAATTCAACATTCTCGATATATCCAAATCAAATCAAAAACTAGTTTTTCATCAACCAAAAAACCTTTTCAAAGCACTGGTAGCTTTATAATATCGAGCCATATCTGAAAACAAAGATACAGTCCTGAATTATTAAACGATCTTTGCTAGACACATTGGCATCATATTTGTAAATATTGCATTACTTTATCGAAGATTTAGTTAAATAACAGCTATTATTGCGATTACAAAAATCATAATGGTCTTTGTCATTGAAATAAATTGTGTTTTTCCCCAACGGATACTCTACTTCAATTAAATCAGTAATAAAAACACATTACAAAAGTTAATGGATCTAGATTAATGCATCACCCCTGGCAGGAAACTACGCCATCAATTTGTTGGCACATTCTTGACTTGCCTGAAACAATGCGACGTTTTCGACAATTTATTGTAGTCTGCATTTTATATCGATGGTTTAAATTAAATCGGTGGCTTCCGAATTGTGTTAAATTTGTGAAATTTATATTTGAAACCGACAATTTCATTTGGATGACGTCATGGGGGGGGGGGGGGGGCGTGTCTAACCCAGTGATTCTCAACCAGTGTTGACAGCTGACATGGCGTCATCATCACTAGGAACATGACGACAGTCTTGTCCCCTTTTCACTTTTGGAAACAGGTTTCATCCATGGTTACAAATCTGGCAAGGAATATTATAAGGATCTGCTTCAAATCGGCACATATTGTCACGGGGCGTTATTGAACTGACACGTTTCTGATCCGCAATCAGGAGCTTTAGCACCAATTTTCCCGAAAATTGTGTCATTCCTAACTCGTTGGCGATAATGTGCTCAATCCTCAAATGAGAGATGTCCACAACACTGCCATTAAGTCGAGTGGTCAATCGTCGATCAGCTATCACCATATCATGCACCCAGGTAATGTTTTGTTGAATGGTTGCCGTTGATGGCCTTAAAGTTCAAAGACGCGGGTCATCGTCAAGGCTCTCTCTGCCACGCTTAAAATCCACGGTTCACTAAAGTGAAGACCATGTCGGCATGTATTTGTGTTGGGGTTAGTCCGTTTAGTTGTAGGTACTTGATGAATTCTTCATAGCCAGTTTGTCCATTTCTGGTGATTTCAGTGGGTATGTTCACAAGATGGTCTGGTACGAAGACAACAATAACACTAGTTGCAGTTCTTATGTCTGTGATTCAATCAATGATTGTAAATGCTGGTGACGAAGGTTTGTTTCAACCCAATCGATCTATCCTTTTCACGCTTAGTGGTTTTTAGCCAGCGCTCGTATATGTTTTTTTATGAAAACATAGCATTTATTCAAAACTTGCGGAGAAGTCCGCCGCAACCCCACAAACAGTGCCCCGCGCTCCGAGATGGGGTCACAGCCCAGAGCTGAGGAGCCCAGGCTATACAACAACAAAACAATATTTTAGATGGTGCCGAATGACACCGGGCTTTCATAGTTATGTCTGCGCTATCACAAAGTGAACGTTAAGCCCCGCGAGAAGAAGGGAGGATGAATGAACCTTTGGCGTCGCTGAAAGACACAAGTGCAATTATAAAAGTTACTTTCTTTTATTCTTTTGACAAACATGCATTTCATAATATGTCCAAAGGTGTTGTGATCGTCTAGTTAGCTACATATAGGATCGATTGTCATGCTTTAGGCAGTCAATATAAACTTAAGCTTGCTTGAAAACCAGATACTACTATTCATTTGAAATTTTCTTATTATTGTTGTAATTTGCGTTACCGCCACGGAGATGGTTTCAAAATTCAGTAAAGACTGAGAATAAACCATGATTTGGAACGCAATGGTGTCATTGCGATACTCTGTTGCAATGGGATTTAGTAACTGAACCAGATATAAACACTTACTCTGAACTGAGAGAGGGAAGAAATGGGGTATAACGTCCATTCAACACCAACTAGGCCATTTCGGGTTCAATTTAATTTCCAGAATTCGCTGACGCGTAGGGGTCTTTAGCAGTGGCGGGAAACCGGGGGACCCGGCGAAAACCCACGAGGTTGGACAGGCGATTCTACTCCTTATCATGTACAAGCCGGGAATCGAAACCACGCGACATACTTGACTCAACGACAGACCTTCTGATCCAACGCACACGTGTTAACCATTCGCCCCCACCCCCCTAATCTGTATCTGTTTGGAGTTACAACTCAATTTTGATCAACACAATAGTTGCATATTTATTATCTAATAACATTATTTATTAATGACTGCGTTTTGTTATTGTTGGTTACATGTATATACTTTTTATAATTGTGGCACTTACCTAATTATAGAATAGAAAATCCATGTAGAAACATCGCTCAAAATTGGATTCCATAGAATTGTGGCCTGGGTTTGTAATTCTGATATTAACAAATGTTTCTATAACTGATGATTTCATTACGTAACGCCTGTTGACTGATTGAATGCACTCATCTCAACGATGTTTGGCCCAGTTTCTTTAGCCACTTGATACATCATCTGTTTGCCTGATCTGAATTATGCGATA